TAATTAGAGTTAAAACTTGGACTTGAAATTTCCAAGTATCTTGCATTTAGGCTCCACATGATATATTTTCAAAGGGGCTTATAAAACCTATACATTTGCAAAATCTCATGGCCAATGAAACAGAAATCTATCTAATCTGGTAACTTTTGAAATACTTGTGAAAACAACCCAAATGGTTTTTTGCAGCCACCTTTAATTATGCTAGCATTTAGCACTGTATAATAATAAATACCTGTATAATAGAAAACTTCTTTTAATTAACATTACATATGCTCAATGCTGTTAAGTGTCTTACTGTCTTGATCTGATACCACAGCAATTTGTGCATGACTGAATGGATGAACACAGAAGAAAATGTGATCTACTCAGAATCAACTTGCTCTGATACATTAATTCCTCACTTTAAAGAGTATCAGTGCAACAAGTTCCCATTGAAGAGAGAACAGTTTCTTCCACTCGATGAACAGAAATATTTTTTAAAATAACAGAGTTTTACCATACCTCTCTCTCTCCCCTACCCCTCTCCTTTTCTTCAAGTGCTATCAAAGTAGTTTTTAACCCAGAAGATGGGTAAAAATATGGGAAAGCATTTGAAAACCACTGTTCTGAATCTCTCTTGACAAGAGGCAGGTACCAAAGCAGGTGATTTACATACCTACTTAACATGCCTTTAATGCTGTTAAGTTGCTTTCCTGAAGTATATTAGTTTGTGTAATAAACCTCTGAAACAACCAAGGTAGCAGCAATGGCCTGTCCTAATGATGGCCATCCCTACCCTGTATGAACAAGGAAAAACTATTAAAATTCAGAAACAGTACACATTACAGCAAAGACCTCAAAGGACTGTAAGAACCATAATATGAAACAATCGGATGTAACAAGCAAAAAATTGAGTTTATAAAAGAAGAAACCACTGAAAATTGAGGTGGTCTACTAATAATCTGGCAGCAGAATAACATTTGGTATTCAACATAATTAAATCTATCCAGGAACTTGAGGTAGGATGAAGGAAAGAATATTAGGTTTAAACAGGTGCCTGTGGAAACCTCCATAATTCCCAGATGAAAAAACTAATTCTACTCTAAATTAGTTACATATGTTTGTTTCTTAGCTGAAAGACTATCCCAGAAACTTCTGGAAAAATGCCCCCAAAGCCCATATGAAGTTAGCTGCAATGAAGTGGTGGTTTTATTTTTAGATATGGTTATAGAATATACCATTATTACTGAATTTACCTTCATACTCAGATTTGTGGAATTTAGTTGTCCTCTCACGAAATCCATCTGCAATGGAGGAGAATGGATTGCTGGCAGGATGCAGAGGTTTTCCTCTGTTTTGTCAATATTTACATGACATATGGGTAAAGAGTATCAATGCTGAGTTTATCTACTACATTTTATTTTCAAAGTTTGCTTATTCTTCATTCAGTATTATCTTTCTAATTCTCATATTTCATGCAGTCAAAAGAAAAATATTCTTACAAACAGATTTCCTTTTGCCTATTGGAAATCTGGCAAGTCTGTTATGGATGAGTTTTCTTTAAATGCTTTCCTGGTTTGAGGTGGCTGTTGTTCTACAGTAGCTGATGGAGCCATCATAGACTTGTGGAATTATATATTTTGCTGGCTGTCATGCTATTTTTCCTGCTCCACTTTCTGATTCAAGTTTCCCTTATCATGGGAGAACACATGATTTTGAATCCTTGGAGCCTGCAGCATGTGATGTTGAAAAAGGCGGTTCAGCATACTTTCCCTGATTTTTCTTCACTACATTACTAGATTTCCTCAAACTAGTTTTGAGAACAAAGTAGTTTGGTTTTTCTTCCTAAATAGCATATTTATTAACATTTGACCCAGACTCTGGTGGCATGGCAATGCACATTTCTCTACATTGCTTCTCTTTTGATATCCAGTCAGGAATTTTTTGGCAACTTTTCTTTTTCCTTATGCTGGACTGGTAAAATGACCCATTTTGGCGAGCCATGGCCTACAAAGGTGCTTGAATATCAGCATCACAAACATTTAAAATGGAAGAATGTTACCGTTGTTCAATTCAATTTCAACAATTTCAAATTTACAGTTTTTTCTTTTTTGTTGATTGGTTTGTTTTGGAATTTTTTTGGGGTTGTTTTGAGTTTTATTTGTTTGTTGGGGTGAGAAGGGGTGGAGAGGGTCATCTCCCCACCCTTCAAAGTACATTAATCTGCTTATTTTCACTGTGAGGATTAACTACGACATCTGGCAGTGGGTATGGATGTTTATCCAAGAGAAGATCTTGTTTTTTGTCTCTGTATCACTGTCTGAGGCCTGCCCGTGTCCTGAATAGCCGTGCTCTCATGGCTATTTTAATGAATACAGCACAGGCAAACGGTACAGGCAATTTACAGCTACAGAGGGCTCTACAACTTGTATCGTTCGAAGAAAAGGTTACATAAATTTCAAACACAGAATTATTAAAGCGAACAGCTTGATTCGTGTTTAGGAGCACGGGAGAATTTTTCCTTTTCTGACTGGGTATCCCACTTAGATCGCATTGCCCCAAACCACCGACCGACCGCAGCGCGGCCGCTTCCCTCAGGCTGCGTCCGACATGGCGGCCCCGCCAGCACCCCCTGGCGGCCGTTACCGCGCGAGGGGAGGGCGGGGGCAGGGCTGAGGGGAGAGGGGGGACCGGGGCAGGGCTGAGGGGGAAAGAGGGAACCGGGGCAGGGCTGAGGGGAGAGGGGGAACCGGGCAGGGCTGAGGGGGAAAGAGGGGACCGGGGCAGGGCTAAGGGGCAGCGAAATGACCGCGGCGGACAAGCTGCTCGGGAAATAAACGCACCGGGGACGGGAGGGCGATACACGGCAGGAAAAAACGTCCCCTAAAGCACCTCTCCCCAGAAACAGCAACGGGCGGGTTTCAGGCTGGGAGGTCGCCTTGGCCGCCGTGAAGGGAGAGAGCAGCCCCGGGGGCACAGTACAAAAATAACACCCAGGGAAAACAGTGGTTCTGCGAGTACCTGGGGACTTACACAGCAGTTACAAGCACAGCCGCCCCGAGGAATGCAATAGCACCATCGACACTGCTATGAGGGAAAAAGGGAGAGAGAGGTAAGGCTTAGGTTTAGCTGTAGGTATTTACCTGATGGTTTTCTGTGATCTCCCAGAGTCTTCAGTCATTTAAATTAATTCTGCTGGAAATATACAAGCGAGTAATTCTCAACTAGTCATATAACCCTCATAAACTTTACCTCAGCAATACCAAAACTACTTTAAAAAGGCACTCTGCAAATTATGTCCCCTTGGCTTCATTTTGAGAAAACTGCCTTGAGAGAGTAACGTTTAAACCAAGTCGAAATTGACCAAATATTAAATTACTAGAACAATTTAAGTAATTAAAACAATTTAGCTTTGACGTCCAGCCTCTGATCAGGCTGTGTGGGGCTTTGCCCACCCAAGTCTGGGGCAGCCCCAGACAGCCCCTCAGCCTCCCATCCCGAATCCTCAGACAGACTGATTTATTTTAAATGGACTAAACAACTGGAAACAAGACAAAGTAGTACCATCATTTCTAACTAGTTTACAGCAATTGTTTAATATATGTTTCATATATTAAAAACCAAGAACTTGGCACCAACATATCTGAAAATTTCATTAACACAAATGCATTAAAAACAATGATATGGAAATGCACAAAGGCATTTCAGTTAAGGCTTCTACAAATATTGCGTGTTCTAGAATTAAACAATTATTTTGTAAACTCGTTCTAAAATTTTACAAGAAACTAAAAGAAAAGCTCACTTAAACTCATATTCCACTGTGAGGCTTAATGGAATGAAAAGTATTTTGTAAAATAGATAATTAGCCATCAAACTGTTTCTTGTGCTTTTTATGTGGCAACCTCAAAACTCATTAATTTAAATATGGATATGCTTAGACCCTCCAAAAAATATACACGGAAAGGCAAGCCTGGCTTGAAATACTGATTACATTAAGTTCATTAATTCAATCCCTGCTCAACCATGTAAAAATGACTATATTTCACCATAAGAATGAATCTGGCTCTTGGCTGGCATCACTTTGTCTAAGGGACAGTTGGAAGGCCAATTCCTAGTGTTAATGTCAGAAATCAAGCAATGATGTTATCCAAGCTTTTCCTGTACTGATATGATGCCTTAGCACACTTCTGCTGAGCTCCCTATTTTATGGGCAAAATTATACTTCTGACCATCCCAAGATAAAAGAAAAATCATGCAGCCATGCCATTAATAATCTCACCTTCAGGAGGTAAGTGACTCTGCAAGCAAACACACATCAGCAAAGTGGTGGCAAACTACACAGGAACACTTCTTGTCTCACCCCTCATCTCCTACAGCCAAATAAATCAGCAAGAACATCCCGTGCACAACTGAAGGAGAGCAGCACCCTGAATCTCTCCATTTTAATGTACAGTGCAGTGCCAGCCATAATTTAACTCTAGTTTTACAAAAATACAGACACAAGAGCCACAACAGTTTATGAAAGAGGCTAAGGGCTCCTTCCCACAGCAAACTGAATGCCTCAGAATGTAGCCAACAGCTGTGGAACATTTTTAGTTCTTGTAGATGTCTTTTTCCTCCCTGCCAAGGCTACCACAGCATTTAAAAGGTGTCACAAACACTGAATTTTTGAATAACTTAAATTTGCTGACACAACATTCACACACAACAACATGTTGCTGTCCTCAACAGGGCAGCAACAGCCCTAGTTATACACATTCCCATGTTTGCTTTGAAGCAACTCAGGTAACAGCACAGAGTTAGCACAGAAAGCATTGAAAGCTCTTTGACATTTCCTTTCAAGTCTTATCTGGCTACTCTTAACTTCACTACTAAAGAAGTTCAGTAATTCTTCAGTGAACTTTGACAAGTGCACCCCTTTTACAACCACCCACAGACACATGTGTTAAATCAAACAAGGCAAAATCAATATATGTTAAGTAACACATATAAACAAGTTTTGGGCTTTAGGTGATATTTTCTTGATAAATGGTTTTCAAACTAGACCTCATCTGTGTTTACTAAGGAGATTGTTTCTTCCTGCAATGTATCTGTATATATTCACATCTGCAATGCTTTCATTTTGCCACTTGAATATAAAAGGATTAATCTCATCAGCAAAACCCATTGCCTGCCACAATTACAGCTGTGTCACTGCATAGAAGGTGGGTTGCTGCAAACTTTTTGGGTTGATTTAATAAGCATTTTCTTGTCATTTTAGGAAGAAATTTCCCATTCTATCCTAACACAAAACAACAATTTGGCAAAATAGGTAGGAACGTTTTTAACATCGATGAAATCCAAGTTTGTTTATAAAGAGCAGTGAATAAAAGGATTGCTCTTGTCACGCCAGATAAGGAGAACTCAGAACACTATTCTTGTGAGTGGCTTTGGAATAGTTACACTGCCTGACTGTTGAGAAATTACAGGACACAGATACATCCAGCTGGCAACACAAAAACACCCTGTTTGATGAGAAGATGCATTTAACTGACCAAACTGTTGCAACATTAAAACTTCTTTGTCTTTTATCTACATCAGCCTATAAGAACTTGTAATCATCAAGATTTTTGTCAAGAGAACTAAATGAAGATTAAAAAAGTGAATTTTAATAATCCTCTTTTATAGATTATTTAAAAAAATCCCTGTCAATTTAATCTTTTCTTCTAGAAAAATATTTTCTGAGAAATAAATGTAGATTATTTTAAGATTACTAACTTGGTGGGGTTTATGTTTCCTAACTCTGTTTTGTTATAAATTTGGCTACTTTTGCTGCTTAGGCTACTTTTGTCGTAAGATTTTTTTTTAATCTCTAGAAAATGTTTAACCAAATCAGATAAGCTAACTGCTGTTTGCATTAGTAACAAGAGCAGGTTGTTGAAGAGTGTAGAGAGTCAAAAAAGCACTGAACACCTGATCTGCATCCCTCTAGTGTCTTTGGCTATGTAGGTAGCAGTATTTCCAAAATCACCTTGACTTTATGCACTAGGGATAATCTACTTTGTAAAATAAAAAGCAAAAGTATAAAAGTTTTCAATCACATTTGGAAACTGTAACGTACATAAAAAGTTCAACATGAAATATATACAATATAAAAATACATTTTTCCTTTATGAAAATTATAATACATAGCTATAATACACAACATGTTGAGCCATCAGTCCCAGCTACAATGTATGCAGATTCTTGTTCCACACTTATGGCTGAACTCTGGGTATGACATCTCCATGAGGAAATTCCTCAATTTCAGAATGAAACATCAGTTCTAAAAGAGAATGGAGAAAATTATGTTTCCTTGGAAACTTTCACCTGAATACAATCCCATTATTCCTCAAAAACACCCTGGCATTCCCCCAGGCCTCCTGCTTTTCACCCCAATCATATCATCAACAACTCGGCAATGGCAAGGACCACCAATATTTTTATCAAACTATTGCTGCTCCCCAAAATGGACAGAATTGGTGACAATATTAGCAGTTGATCATGTGCAGTACCACTGTGCATTCAACATGGACACTGAAACACAACTCTGAATTAGACTGAGGGACTGTTAAAGTTTTGAGAGTGTCAGACTCAGGAAGGAAGGACTTCAGTGTAGAGACTCGTTCATTTTTATAAGTTTTGCTCTGTGGCTCACAGTGTTAAGTTAGCATATCCCATCCTTAGCAGACTAAACTTTCTCTACTATTTGGAGTAAGTACTAATGAATTTCTCTCTAGAAATTTCCACAGTGGTTTTCCAGTCTTAGTAGGCACATGTAAGTATCAAAAAAATTAATCAAAAACCGAGTAAAATTCTGCCACTGGAATTCCTTGTGTAAGCCTTTATTATTTATGGGTTTAAAATATGATTTAAACATCTATCATCAGTTTTACCATTGAAGACTGTAAAGGCTGTCACTTAATTGTTTGGGGTTTTTTAACTCATTAAATGATTTCTTAGATATAAACGCAGTGACTGGAGCCAGCTGAAATATGGAGACCCGTACACTAAAATTCACAAGTAATTTGAAGAGGCCTGTTGGATCCTCAATCTCCCAAACACAAATCTGTGCTTCAACTCATGGTGTTCTCAGGATACGTTTTGACTTTCAAGTTAAATTTAGGATTTTTCTGCACAGCGTACCTTCAAGCGACAGGCTGCACGCACTTGACAGGAACACTGACTTGGGACACAGCTTTTGGATCTCAGGGGGAGCACAAAAGGAAGGAGGCTCAGTTTCTAGCCAAGTTCCTTCAGGGAGAAGAACTTGTCCCCCCTCCTCCAGCCCGGACCAGCACAAGCAGTCCTCCTCTGAAGTCCTGTGCTGCAAGCACAAATCTGACTTTCCAAAGCTAGGGAGTTCCCAAAACTACTGCCATGTCCTATTGAAAATAATACTGAACTTGTAACCCATTCAGCACTTGCAGAAGGAACATTAATAACATTAGGGAATTTTCTAAGACACACAGAGAATAAATACATTTCAAATATTTAAAATACTGTTAAAGTATTTTAAATTATTTCTCTCTTCACTGAAAAGAGACATTCTGTAATGTTTCAAAATTCACATTGCTTCAGACAGGATAAATAAAAATTTTCTTTTTAAATTAACGTTTGTAATACCAAACACAGCACCAGCATCCTAAGAAGCATTTGCTGTGCAAGGTTGCTAGGAGATACTTTTTCTTCCTCAGTCACAAAATTTCTCAGGACTAGTCTTGAACACCAAATGCATAGCACAGCAGATAAAAAACCCAACAACTTGAATTAAAAACATTTTGCCTATTAATGTGTCCTACCTTCACTGTGGTCTAGCTCAGGTCGGGAGCTTAAGAAGATCCAACTTGTCCCAACCAGAACAGACACTACGAGATTCACCACAACCCACGAATGAACAATTTCTGTCTCTGTACCTGCAGTCCTGGGAAAGACATCAAACCATCAGTCATCATTGGTGCACAGAAATTACAGTAAGAATTGCAGCAGAATAACATCAAAACAAGTTTTCTAAGCCAGATGAGAAAAGAGAGCTACTTGTACTATCATGATGGTCTTGCATTGCAAAGCCCTGGTAAAGAGAACAATTACCAAAGATCGCAGAAACCCTAAACCTCCACCCCCCCTAAAAACTAACTGCCCAAACCAGCAAATGTTCACATAAATGCTTTTGTTCCACTCCTCCTGGTTCACTTTAAAAATTCCTGCTACCAGAATTTGAGTCCATTACTAGGTACTTCAGAAAGGAACAGCTTTGGATGGGATCCCCTAACATGAAATGATGGTTTATATTTAAATGCCAGCTGTGTCTGCTAAGGCCTTGCATCCTGTGGCAGCCTCCTTCAAAGACAGCGTTGACTGTCTACAGAATGCTCTGCCCTTGAACCCCAAAATGGTTACTTACCTCAGGAGGGTCCCACTCTCAAGCAAAAAAGATTCTTAAGGTTCCTGCCAGATGGCATTTCCAGCATCATTCCAACTCTTGTTTGAGGTATAATGGATTTGCAAACAAAATGGCCAAACTCATCCCTGAGTTTTTAGTTTTCAGTGAAAGTATCAAATATTCAGGACAAGCTCAAAGGCAGGTTCAGAAATAAAATCCTTCATCAATAGTTTCTTACATATCTTGTACAATCTCTTCAATCTGCCAGTTTGACAAGGCCCCTAAGTGAGCTATGTTATAATTTATGGGTTATTATTCCTTGTTTCCTACCAGATACTGCCGTTTTCCGAAGGTGGCGTGTAGAGGTGGATTCTGTCACACGTCATCTGCTGGCTTAAGGATAAGATAAGAGCAGCAAAGTACACTGGAAGAAATGGAATTAGTAGTGTCAGATCTAAATCCCAAAATGCTGTCTCATCATGACATGGCACTAATGACTGCATTCTCTTTCCTTTTACTCCTCTGCCTCCAATCAGAGCCTGCTTTAATTCATTCTCTTCTCTTTAACATTCCCCTGACCTATCAAAATCTGGTTTCTGCACTTTTGCAATCCATGAACTAAATCAGACTTATGTTTTGTGGTTTTGTTTATTTGCTAGGTTTGTGTTCTGTATTCAGAAATGGAAAAGAACTACCTCACTAACAATCCCACTAATGCTACTATTGGAAATGCTTAAAAAAATATGGAACAAAGTGTTTATGGCCATTGCTATTATAAACTACTGAGCAAGTAATTTATTCTAAAGCAGAAAATAACCTGGGAGGAAGATTTCAGTAAAAAGACTATGGAGGAGTATTCCATTTACCATGTTTTCTGGACAGCATCCTATCCACTTCAAAATACTTACAGAAAGAAGCTAGTGCTGCTGGGTCTAGGGTCAGAAAGCCCCTCAGTGCAACTGATGCCTTTGCCAGATCAATCCTGATAACAAAATCAAGAGTCATTAACACAGCCCAGTAAGACAATGATACTGCTCCTCTAACAGCATTCTGTTGTTCTTTTCCTTTCTGCAAGGTATTTTTTCTGCCTCTGTAACAGTGCCTTAATCTACAGCTATATCCCACCACATGGCAATGGTCCCTGTTATGCCAATTCCAGAACGAAGGAGGATGTTCCACGAGGTTTCCCACTGCACACCTTTCTGAAACAGGGAGAACCTGGGGATATCTGTCCCCTCTAATCCTTGCCATTCAGTTCAGTGGCCATGCTAATGGAACTGCTTACAGGAGCAAATGTGATAACTTGGGACTCCTCCCTGCCATCCTGGGAGGGAAAGAAGTCACAATTATTTTCACAGCACCAACTCCCCAATGGCTTATCCTACCTGTAACTAAAAGAAACATTTGTAACATCCCTTAATCTAGTCTAGTCATGATCTGTTTTTGAGCTGCCCTCTTTTCATTCTCATTCTTAATCTGTAATGCAGAAGCCCCAGCTAAACCAGGAAAACTGTTCACTCAGCTATGTTTCAACCCTGACTAGGATTCATATGAAAGTGAACCTAACAGAAACATTTGTTGCTCTCCACCCCTCTTCACCATCCCACCACAAAAAAAACAGGTCAGCTCTTACATTTGTTTCGCCTCCTTACCCCACAAACAGCAAGGTGACATTGTGACATTGAAGCAGGGTGCAAGCACCAGACAGAAATGACTACCAAATGTCTGGATGCACGAGTACACCCTTCTGTGTTTAGTCAGCCGTGTGAAAAATCATTCTTTGACCATATCAATTAAACCATCAACAGCAAATCAACATGTGCCAAAGGAGAAAGGAACATCATATACACAAATTATATATATACATCTTTCAAATACAAATATGTTTTACCTGTCAAAGGCTGAGACTGTACTGATAGACAGCAAAAAATAGAACAAACTTTGAGCTGGGTATGCTATTGTCTTATACTGCTCAAGCAGGTTAGAAACCATGGAAAGCTCATTTCCTGCCAGAATGTAGATAACCACGATGTTCCATACAGCATAACCAGCAAGGAAGCCATGGGTGAAGAGGCCCAACACCCTGAATGGAGGAAAGAACATTAAACCAGTTTTAACATCTTCAATTAGCTCTAGATAGAAAAGGCCTATGAATCCATCTGTTTAACCCTGCTTTTCAAGGCCTTTCAGAGACTGTTTGTGAGTGCTTTTTCTGATCTAGTTTAAAAAATTCTAAGCAAGAGTTCTGTTTGCTCCTGTCACACCAGGTGCACCAGAACCTGAGCACTTAAAGAAAACAAAGATGTTTTGCCTTCCCTTCATTACAGCCACAGGCATCAAACGCTTTCACCTGCAGCTGTCTGTAGTTTCCCTTGACCACTGTCCCTTGCACTCACACAACATTCTAACTTGTCCCCAGGGCAATCTCTTCAATGCCCTCATTGCTAAGTAAAAGCTTGAGCACAGGCTCAAGCACAGGCTCCCAGCTAAAATACACCACAGAAGAAGATGGCTGTTATCTTCCCATTTCTCTATTACAAAACAATTGCATATTTAAAAACTAACTTTTTTGCTATTATTTACAAGTTTATTCTCCCAGTGTAATTTCACTCCTCTCTCTTTCCCACCACCCAGGATTTTTCTTTGAGAACTGTCTCAACTCAGGTATTTTTATTCTGGTAGTACACATGATGGCTGAGTCCTACTTTTTAACCCATTTCTCTAGGTAAATAATGTTTTGGTTATCAGCTCAATCTCTTGCTATTGAGATTGTGTCTGAATCTTTGCAATATGGCTTCCTTAGTTTCTTTTTATAAGCTCTATTTCACATGTGATGTCTACTGGAAATTCATAATCTTGACAACAAATACCAAAAGCTAGAGGACTGATAAACTTTATACCTGTTGAATCCAGAACCACCATTTATTAGGAATATCCAAAAGAAATAAAAATACACTACAACTATAGAGGAAAGGCACTAATTTTCAGGGAGGGAAAAAACTCCAAAATCTCAAACCAAACCCCTGATTTATGTTTATTTACATCTGAACACTTATTTTTCACCTGAAACTTCGGTGCACTGAGAGGGCAACATCTCTAGTAGTCCACGAAGCCTTCACGTCCAAAAGCACATTGATATTTTCAGTGGTTTTAATCAATTCTGCACGGTCAGCTGCATGAAAACGCCCTGAAAGGACAAGGAGATCAGTTTTAGAGAGCTCCGCTTCCTTTCACCATATTTCTATATAAATGCTTATTAGTGTTAAAAAGCTGTTAAGAAGCATCAGAAATTTCTTCTCCCCACTTCCTGCCCTTTGTCAGCTTACACTGATACAGGATGCCTCTGGTCAGAATGATGCATCCTGGTGGGTCAGGTTATGGAGTTACAATGTGCAAAGCACTTTGGGAAATGACTCAGTGTTCCCTGGGACAAAAAAAACCCAAACAAAATAACAGAAAAACACAAACCCTGCAAAAACCTTCCACGTGAAAGAATTCTAGTAAGTAATAGTTTCTTCTCAAGGTACTGTGGATAGCTGGGTACTTTGAAATCTTTTTCACCTCCACCATGGAATTAAGAAATCAAACCAAATATACCAGCACAGTAACACCACCATTCACTGTTGAAAAATTATCATGCGTATCAAGTAATTTTTGTTTTGGAAAACTTTTAAAAAAATTCTTCCCAATACTACAGTATTTAGATTTTAGATACAATAATGCTTCTAATTGCAAGAATGTTATTAAATTACTAATATCACAATATGAACTCACGATTTTTTTCAACAAACACTTTGCTAACAGGCTGACTAATTCCAGTGGGAGCAGCAAACACAGGCTGCTGATCTGGGCTCTTCCTGTGCTCATCTTCAATGATGTCTTCCTCCTCCACTTCCAGCTCATTGGAGCTCACTTCAGCTGGCCGAGGTTTCCTGTTGGCACAGAGCACACAGTGGGACAGAGAAAGAATAGGAGACAATACGTAAAATCCAAAGGCTCCTATGAACATTTAACATGCCTAACCTGACTAATAAAAACCCATCAGACTATGACCTGTATAGTATTACCCTGTTCATAATTTTAAGGACTAAAGTTCCCATGGAGGTAGTTGACTAAAACCATAAGACTAATTCCATATCAAGGGATTAATGATTAGAACATATTAGAATAAAACTTATTAAAATAATTGGGGGAAAAATGCTAATTTTCATATAATTAAGATAGTAAGAATGATAGAAAGCAGTTCCAAATTCTAATTTCTTCATGTCTGTGACTGAACTATTAGACACATGAAAATGTATTTAGAGCTGCAATGCATCCAGGTATGCACAGAACAAAGAAGTGAAAAAAGTTAGATCTTAACCCTGGAAGAATGCACAGGCTGAATGGTACTGTGGGCTTCAAGATTTTACATTTTTGCCAAATGACAATGTAAAATACTCCTCAGCCACATTCACTGTTACAGTTAGTCCAGATTATGAGCTATACTAGTTTTGTCTCACTTTGTTCTTTTTCTCTGTTTGCGGATCACCGTTTCTTCAGCGTCAGGGACATCCATGCCATTTCCATTCTGAAATAGGGATGCCACATTCTGCTGGGTAAAAGAGGTCTCAGAATCTGAAGATTAAAAAAAACCAACCCAACATGAAAGTTTCAGAGTTTTCATAAAAATGGAATACATGCACCTAAATACACAAATAGTTATTATATAAAAAGAGTGGCAAAAAAGTAATGATCTGAGCTTTGAATGATGTTAAGAATTACATAATTTCCAAAACTGTATATCCATTATTTTCATGGAGGTTTGTACGCTATGAAATGTGAAACCAGAAAGTGAAACTCTAAGCTACCACTCACCCAGAGATTACCTTCATGTGTTCTAGGTAAAGAAGCACGTGAAACGTTTTAAACCTAAATACACATTGTCCAGTAACATTTCTGTGTTCCCAAGTTCTATTCACTTCTCTTTCCCACCCACCACTATCTCACGTACCAGCAGGTACTTTCTTCTTCTTGCGCTTCCTCTGAGGAGGGGCATCAGGGGGCTCAGGGGTCAGGGGCTCGCTGCTCTCAGACTGCCGACGAACCGCTGCTTGCACGATGCCATCTGCAAAGCACAGGAAAACACCCAGAGGCCTGAGCTCAGAGCCACTGAGAAACAGGCAAAACAAAGCTGCCATTTACTGCCCAGCTGAGCAACAACTGAGATGAAAATGCATTGGCTATAGGAAATGTAAGAGTTGAGGATCATTGATGAGAAGTAGAAACATACAAAGGTATTTCACAGTAAAACAGTATCATGCTCAGGAGAGAATTTAAGTATCCAAGAAGCAGCACAATTCCCATTTGGGCATACAGTAGAGGACTGCCTGAAAAGAAGCCATCACTGGAAAGAACTACACTGTTGGAGATTTTTTCAGGGATGGCTTGGAAGGCAGCTGTGGGGGACAGGTTCTCACAGCCTGTTTCTGTAAACAGCAGAGGTTCTCAGGTTGTTTTTAATTACAAGTAAAAGTGACAAACATGAAGGCCTTGAGAACCTTGCATATCAGAGTTCTCAGGCAGCTTTCNCCTTGCATATCAGAGTTCTCAGGCAGCTTTCTCATAACAAGTGGATGTTCTGTCTTTGGCTGTTTTGGGAAAGCAAAAATAATTTTGAGAACCCAAATCTTGGTACTGGAAACATAAGGAGGAGTTGGTATGTTATCTCTGACCTATTGTGAGCTCAGATTTTGCAATATGCATGAACTTAATTAACACGGTTATAAAAAGTGACTGATTGATGAATGAACCGGAGTTGATGCTGATCAATGAAAGGTGGGTCTTCTCCCTCCATTCTTCAATACTACACCTCTATATTTCTCTTTTCTAGGTGCAAAAATTATAATGCAAGGGCCAAAAAAAAAGTAATGGTTTATTACAAGGTGATCCACACAGATATGTGCTAAGGCAAAATGGCATCACATCAAAGGAAAATTTAAATGCTAAACATACAGTACAAGAATAAAAAAGGAGCAAAAAAATCCACAAAGGGATATTTACTCCAGTCTGAGCAATTAAATATTATACTTTGGAGGAATTATATTTCTGTGAAAAGTTAAAATGAATTCATATTATAGAGCAATAGCATCATGATCAGATGCAGAAAGACAAAATTACTTCTCCATTTTACATCGCACCTGCTTTTTAATAGCGCCTTCAAGGACAGCAATTTTTATGGTAACAACTGAATCTTTGTTTCCACTTCAAAGTCAAGTTTACCCACCTTTTATAAACCTCTATTGTGCAAAAATGCAAAAGTAACCAGCAAATAATAATCATTTACAGTCAAGTCTTCAGTGATAAGGAAGTAATTAACTTGTGCCTTTATTTGGCCAAGGACTGAAATTGAACCAGATTGCGAAAGGAATTTTATCTTAGTTCATTCAAAAATTCAAGTGCTTAACACATTCAACATAAGCAGCTTACAGCTGGAAATGTCTACTTAATGAATTATGCAAAGAAGTTAGAAAGGAAAAAAAGGAAGGAATAAAAGAACAGTTTTTAGACTTTGTAGGACCTTACCTAATGGAGTCTTTCCTTTGGGTTTCCTTTTTTTGGGACGACTGAGTGGAATTTCATCTGTATAACATAAAACAGAAGTATGGGTGCACAGCAAGAAAAACCTCAATATCCTTTTTAACAACCATCCTATTGCAAGTTAAGAAAACATTATTTTCTACAAATTATGACATCCTTTGTTTTTACAAGTAAGATTACAATTCACCAGTTCACACAAGGAGGAAGAGTACAGATGGTAGGAAAACAGAGTAAAAAATCAGTGTAAGAAGTTCTATGTGCAGCAAAGGTGCAATACATACATGCATGTGTGTTAAGTGATAAACTGAAATACTGTGAAAAATGTTCTGCAAAAGAAACTTATTGTTCAAAGCACAGCGGCAACACTTCAGTTACCTTGATGGAAATAGCTAACAGTAAAGAGAGCAAAAAAAACCCAACAGTTCTAACAATGCACAGGTATCCAGTTTAAATAATCAGCCTGCATTCAGGAAAAGTATAAGGCTCTATCTTTAAAGAGAGAATGAGTGGCACCAAAAGGAACTACCAATGTTTGTAGTTCTCCTTAATAACTCACCTTGGCTTCCACTTCATATTGAAGAAGGAAAGTTGTTGTCAAGCAGTGTAAAAAGATGAAAAGAAAGTTAGTTTTCAATCAATTACAATTCACAACCATGAAATTCACACTGCTGCTTTTATGGTTAATTTCCTTCTCCCCCCTCCTCTTTATGAGCAGATGTGTATAACAGGGTTAAGGGTAGGAAGCAATCAGCAAGATTCAACATTTTGTTGGTGACTACACACAGTTTCTTGATTGGCTAGCTGTGGATCAGATTAAAAGCTTTAATCACCTGGCTAATTAAAACTTGTCTTATTGCCTGGTATATAACAAACCAACAGAAGTTATGAAACATTTGAGCCCATACATCACTAAAAAGACATTATCTGTCGACAATCATAAACATCACATTTACCTGCAAGTACTTTGCAGGAATTCTCAAGTACCATCTCATAAAAACTGCATAATTGCTTTTCCGTTCGCACTGAAAAAAAGCCCAAATTTTTTCCTATACTACATCAAACTGATAGATACCTAACTCCCTATTAAAGAATATCTAGCTTAATTCCAGAATTTCTTGGTTTTAAGTATTTGTGATTCAAATAAACTAAAGAACACATAATAAAAGAAAGAGGGAGGAAGAAGAGATTAATATTAAGCTATACTAGACACTAAAACTGGAATATTTGTCTAGAAGTTTTTAAAGGATTTATCTCTCATGAGTATTAAAACTGAAGTAATATGGTAAAATTTCTTGGCTTCTATAAAACTTTAAAATCTTTTGCATTCCTTGTAAAGCATTTTGGGACAATAAATTAGCAAGAGAAGCAATTTTACTGCTCAGATGTTTATGAAACTTATTTCTTTTAATGTTACTACTTTCAAAATCTGCAGTACAGCATCATGCTCAGTTCCACAGAATGCAATGATTTTACCTTGGCACTGGAGGGAGGGCACGAGGCGGGCACTGAAAGACAAGAGAGAGACAAAAGTCAGCTTCTGCCAGTATGAAACCACCTCTCAGAAAACAGCTTCAGATCAGAACATCCAAGGCATATTTTGCTCTGTATGCCTCCTAAATGGCCAAACATTCCTAATGGAGATGGGATACAAAAGCAGGATGGAAAAGATGCCGGACTAATATGCCTTTACCAACCAGAGTTCTGATGGGCACTGCAGTAGGAACATACAGCTAAGCTCTGTGTGTGAGAAACAGCTTGCATTCAGGCTTCAATAATTTTCACTTTTCCTGTAGGGTACCACTTTCACTAGAAAGCTTATTAGTCATTCTATTTAAATAAATATAAAATATTGTAATAAATTATGCATTCAGTATAATTTTACAGTACATGACATGAGCTGAGCATTTTCTATTAATGAAGATCTCAGAACATTAGTGAAGACAATAAAAGGAAATAACCTCACTTATGAAAATACTTTAAAATATTATATAGTTTTTCCATATAACTTCGAACATATTTACCAGCAGGTCAAACACCTAAAATCTAAAAGGATCTCCAGATAACAATCTGAAACTGAGCTCGTACCTTTCCCTTATCTAGAAAAATAAGTTAACTTTCAAATTTTGTACTACACAATTATACTGGAAGAATATACACAAAAAAGTATTTCCCATGCTCAGAAAATTCAGATACCAGAAATAAAAAGGGCCATAAGACCGGTAAGACTCAAGGATTCACAAACTCACCACTTGTTTCTTTCCCATATCATCTGAAGTCGTTCCCTGGAAGAGGCACTGTGAACTGGTCTAGGCTCCCTCACGCTGCTCACATTGAACCTCAGCTAATTCTGAACTAAAAATAAACTTCAGGCAGCCAGGATTAGCTGGAGCTGAACCCTCCTGCCCCGGGTCAGGACCCAGAACTACTCCCATTTGAAACAAGGGCAGGTTGTTTAATGGCAGCAAATATTACTTGCACTAAAAAACCTTTCACTCTGCATGCTGGCATAGGTTCCTATGAGCAAGTTTTACATTGGTTTGTTTACCCAAAGCAAATGAGATGCTTCATGCAAGGAAGGGTTTGTGGGATTAGACCTCAAATCTCTCACTTGGATTTTGGCCATGCTGAAGACTGACAGCAAGTGCCACTTAGGTAGAGAACTGCACACCCTAAGTGGCACCCAGCAAACTGGTGGGGACTGCTCACACTACATTGGTGCACCATAAGGGAAAAAAATATTGGTAAAGGTCAGATCACATTACTTTTATTGTTTCCAACATTCTTGTGGCAGTAAATAGTAAATATTTAGGATACTTGGTATTTAAAAACAACTAAAAGTCAAAAACCCCATAAAAACAAACAAAAGCCACAAACCTTTTACACAGCATTCACTGCCTATGCAGTAGTAATTCTGCACTCAGTAGTACCTCTCTATTTTATTGCCTTCTACAAAACAACTGGCAAGTGCATTGATTTCTGTATCATTTATTCCTTGCAACACAGGAAACCCCATGCAAGCAGCCAGTCATAAATACTCATCTGTCCATCTGCGTAACAGTCCCCAGCTCTGCCATAAAGCTATCAGCTTTGTCTATTTGCAGGTTCACAGAGTCTGAAGTAACTTACCCCAAATTTCTCAGAAAGGGTGAGTTTGTCCATGGGACAGGTCCCTATGGACATTTTGTTCAGGGCAGAAGAGCCGCTGAGTGCTCTAAAGTGTCCCGAAACCAAGAGACTTCGACAAACCAGGCAGCAGCTGCCTCGGTCAAACCGTGTGTTTGCACACCTGAGCCAGGCTACGAGACAGTGGGACGCACCTGGAAACTCGGGGAAAAACAAACTACCCAGCTCCCCCGGTGTCCTTTCCAGGATGCTGAGAAGGAAAGGTTTAAATGTCCACAATGTTTAAAAACACTGAAGCATCCTTCACAGATTTGTTAAAGCCTTGCAGACTTTTTTTTTTGTTTGTTTTTAGAGGTTTATATGAAAAAATACAACGAGGAAATGCTTGTTTGCTTCCGCAACAGAGATGGACAGAAAAGGGCGACCCTGCGGCCGGGATGCAGCGGGGCGGGGATTCAGGAGCCGCGCTACGAGGGCGCTCCGCTCCCGCGCCGCGCTTCAGCTCCGCCTCCCGGAGCAGCTGCGGCTGGGGAGCGCCCCGCCACATCCCCTCAGCAACAGCTCGGGTGGGCCAAGCTCCCGCCGCCGGGTCCCCCGCGCTGCAGCCCCACGGAGCCGTCCGCGCCCCCCTCCCGTCCGGCCCCACCACCCCCTCACCACGCCGGGGCCCGCCCGCCGCGCCGCCATGGGCCGCGCCCGCCCAGCTCCGGCTCTGCGGGGAGGAGCCGCCGCTCCTTCCGCCCCACGCCGCGGCTGCGCACCCTCAGCGCCGGGAGGGCCGGCTTCCCGTTTTCCTTGCTCGCCGGCGGCTGCCTGATTGGAGTGAGCGCGGCTCCGTGGCTTTGAGCGGTAGTCGTCGTCTGTCGGGCTGCAGACAAGCAAAATCAAGGGAAAAAGGGTTCTGGATTACTTCACTTTGTAGCTAGAGTCTCAAACTGATAAATGAAGTAATCGGAAAAAACCAAACAAAACACCAAAAAAAGTAAGAAATAATACATGGAAAAAAGGCAAAGAGAAAGAGTCGACAAATGCTGGACTAGGCAGAAGTGGGGAAGCTGGTCACGGACCACCAGCAGAGAGCTGGCTGCTATCTCACCCTCTGTCAGTACTTACCCACATCAATGTCATATTGGGGCTTCGGTCTCTGCCATTTTACCTCTAAACAGGGAATACAAGCTCTGACTCTAGAACAAGCAGGCATCCTGGTGGTTGTAATACTTCTCTTTAAATAACCTCTTTCTAGACTGCTTAACTGGCTTTTGTCGATTTTCCTCCAAGATGAGGTAGGCCAACAAAATAACCATCTGTGTACCTCAGGCAGCAAGAGAGCTACAAATAGGAGGTGGAGAGAGTGAGGAACTTAGTTGCCATAAGCACTGCACCCTTTGATGAGGAGACCGTGTTACCACAGACCAAACCAACAAGAGAAAGATTTTCTGATTATCTTCCTCTTTGGTAAGTCCACATTCTATCAGTTTGTACTCACTTGAGTTGATGGAAGAGTGGAAAAGATATTATTTACATGTATTATGACGATAACTGGGTTTTGGAGTAATTCATATTATGCCAACACCACTCCTATCCTAAAAGGTAAAAAGGATTAGCAACAAACCAATACCTTAATAAATAACACTCTACTGACAGACACCATGCCAAAAAAAAAAGCACATTCTGACTTAATATAATCTGTAAGGCTTCCAGAATGTAAAGGCATCACAGAACCAGAACAAGCATAATAGAAAGAGAGGAAAGGACCTTTCTGGACTTATATGTAAGTAAATAACACAGATACATGCAACAAAATAGATTTTTCTTTATTCTTGTAATTGAGTACTCACAGTATTTCCTTTTTTTTTGTACAAAAGTGGATCCAAGTGTAACATAAAAAGCTCAAAAGCTACACAGAACATAGTATGATTATATCTCCCATTGGAGCTTCCTTCCTAATCCTCTTCCAAATCCCTCACGTACAAAGATAAATTCTTGCAATCCTGACATTAGGATTATTCTTGAAGTAAAACATAAGCTGTAATCTTTCTGAAGCTGCCTGCTGCTTAGAATTAGGGCTGATTGTCTGAGCATATCCATACTGCAGGGACCCACTGGGGCTCATCCTGTGCACGATGTACTGCAGACAGCAGCTGAGCAGATGCTTCTTGTAAATTGTCATTCACAATCACGTGATCAAAGAACTGACCAAACTGAGCTTCCATTTTCTTAGCTGATTCTTCCATCTCCTGTAAATCTTCTTCCTGTGAGACAGAGTAAGTTCATAAAACTGCAGGGTTGTGTAGAGAAACATACCTGCACAGCATCTGCAAAACACCTTGGACCACATAAACAAGAGTTGAATAGATAATGTCAGTCTGCTTTATTTCATTTACAGTTTGCTATAATAAAGTACCTCTGCTACAGTCAGTTCCAGGTCTCAGAAACTGAGCTGCTTGCCATATGCTTGCCAAGGAAGTACCTTGTGTCTCAGGATACTCCATTTGCCCTAAAACAGTTACTCTAATGATAAGTGCTGGCAGAGAATGTTAGAGACTGGAAGGTAAATCTACAAATGCTTGTGTTCTTATTCCAAATTTTAGTTTATTTCCCCATGTCCATGTTACCTTCTGTCATAGCAATCATGAATCATTTCCACATAGTTATAGACTGAGGTCTCCAAAATGTTAAGAGGCTATATTTGATGATGATTTGCATGGAAACAATTGTGTCAAAGTGCTGTATATATTCTAAATATAAGAGATGCATTTCCTACAAGCAGGATCTGTGTTTTAGCTACGGAACTTAGTACAGGATTGATACTGGCACTAAGCATACATTCTAATAACTGAAAAAAATAATAATACTTCTGAACAAAGCACATTCCAAGTATTTCAATGCAAGCAGTAAATATATGTGTTGACTCAAATATTGACACAAGACAGCAAAATAAAACAAAAATATGCAAAATAGCTTCTCCTTTAAGACCTTTTGAAGCTAAGTGCCTCAGCCCCCTAGGTTACAAATTACAATTCTTATGCTTCAAAGCCAGTCTGGAAGGGGAAAAGAAATCCCAACAAAATTCACAGAAAATAATAAAAATTAGATTTGATCCTAAAGACACAGTAATGCTTTTTCAAGAGTTAACAGTGTAGCATAGTAGAATGCATTATGTTCTAGTAACAGAATCTCAGATTAACAAACAATCTCTTTTATTCTCAAATCTCACCTTGAACTTCATGTTCACATAATAATCTGTAATGATCCTGGCATTTTTACGAGTCTGCCTCATGCAGCCTATGCTGGGTGGCTTGATGAATATAATGTAGGGCTTTAACTCATGGGTCCGGGCTATTTGTATACCCTACAAATGAAGAGTAAAATAAAGTTTTTCAAGTGCATTCATCCCAGCTTTATTCCCATAAAAAGCCAGTTGTTTACAACATACTGTGATCCCCAAACCTAGGAGACACTTTTTTCAGGAACACTTACTTGAAAAAGATCCCACTAATAATCCCTGGAGCAGACATTGTTAAGCAACTGTAGCACACAATTACTTAATTCTGCTTGGTAGCCTCATTAGGAGATGCTATCAGTACCAGTGAATGATGGAACAGTGTCACTAACAGATCTCTACAATCAACCACATAAAAGATGCATTTGAAACCTGTTCTTTTTTGACTGTAAGGGAGTTACTTTTGGAACAAGTACCTTTTTATTGTTCCATGCTAGAAGAAAGTATCCTGCCTTCAGAACTCCTTTACTGTGTAACATTTCCTAATGCTAATCAGTATTTTTAAATTACTGCAGAGCAGTAGAAGGAATGAAAAAAAGAAAAAAAAACTTAAGAAAATCATAGCATGTAAACTTGGTCAAACCACCAGATTTAAAATAAAGTATGCAACACAGCAGTAGTTCTGCTACTGATCTTACTTCATCCTTTCCAAAACTTGTCCTTTAAACTCACACCCTAAAAAAATTCATAATGGCACATCTGTCCAAGTGGCAAGATTACACTCCCCACACCACAACACCCCTCTTTTACCCCTTTGCTTAAAAATGTAACAAGAAACTCAAAGGACAGTTTCTAGGGTGTGACCTGAGCTACCTCTTACAACACTTTCAGTTTTTGAGGAGTACCCCACAAATCTTGTAACTTAATTTTTATTTTAAGCAGCACAAGCCACTGCCAGCCTAAGGCGCAGACACATTGGCTCTGCATAAGTAGAGGGAAATATCCAAGAAATACTGAGTTATGGTGTCACTCCTTCCATTCAGTTAGAGGAGGTGTTTAAACAGCACAGCCCAAACAGCTCCTAAGTACTAAATATGCAAGCAATTCAGGGAAGGTTAGCAAGGTTTAGCTAGACACAGCTCTAAGTATCCTAGATATTTACAAGCTCAGGCTTTTATTAGCCTTATCTTCATCAGCAAATTCAATGCAAAAATAGAAGGAAAATAAAATAGGAAGAAAAATAGTATCTAAGTGAAGAAGCAGGTTACTGAGTGCTGTAACTTCTGGAGAGAAATGCAGGCACAAAGGCACAATAAAATTTTCAGCTTTTGCTTGATTACTTTAAGTGTTGCTGCTTTTACCAAAGGGTGTTGTGAGGTTTCTAATAGAAGGACAGAATTCTCAACAGTAGGGCTTGGAGAATGTACATCCAATGCAACAGGTGGCCATGTGAAAGACTAATCCTTACTTTTAAGTAAGTATGAAAATTCATTTCCATACATCCAAACTGATAATGCAGCTGCTGGCTTGGTAAAAAATGAACTGTCTCAAGATATTTGTCATTGTAGTACCACCACCACCCCCTAAGACACATGAAAAGAATAATCTATTATTAATAAGCACCATGAGGTAAAGTGAAAAACAAGACAAAGCAACTAACACTGTTCCAATGGCTCAAGAATGTAGAGAAAATGATTTTTCCTTCCAGGAGATTCTCTGCCCCTTTACCACTCACCTGAGGTTCTAAATCTATGACACAAATCTTCCCTGCATCGAGGACTGTTCGCACTGCATCAATACTGGTACCATACAGGTACCCTTTGTACTCCCCATATTCCAGCATTCTGCATCAGTGGTGAGGAAGAAGGAAAATGAAAGAGCATTTGAGTTTCAAAAAGATTCCATTTAAAAGTGAAATCTTCAAATACAATCCAGTGCTCAGGACTGAATGATCATAAAACTCACTGAATACTGTTCACCTTTGCTCTTCCCTGCTACACTAGGCACAAAACCCATCACAATTCATCTCCAAAACATGCATTTTTTACTCATCATGGTTTTATGAATTTTGTGTTTAGAGGCTGTGATTTTACTTGTCAATGCTTGTCAATTACATAGTACAAATAACTTCTTAAGTCTGAAGATTTCAAAGCGCTGGGCACAGTTCAATGAGTGTCGCTTCTGTAGTGCTGAGCTGGTCTGTCTTAGAGAGGTGATTCATGCATGGAAAGGAGCAGACACTTGAATATTTAGCCCTTACAGTTCAGCTACTCGTGTGTCATCACTGCAGAGATGCTGCAATGGAGTTGCAGGTCAGGAACAGTGTGATTTACTGCTAAATTTTCAAAAGCAGTCTGGTTTCCTGGAGAGTTAAACTCATAACTTA